ATTTATTTCATATTTCTAGGTATGTGGAGCTGCTGTCCTGGGTAAGGATAATATTATGAAACATGCAGCAGAATTACATGCGGGTCGAGGTGCATATCAATGTCAATATTGTAAAAAATTCTTTTTACGTTTAAATTATTTGGAAATGCATCGTACTTATGGATGTGCACAAAATCCACAACGTTCAAGACCATTATGTGATTTTTGTGGACGTAAATTTTGCCAACCACAAAAATTAAAAGTGCACATTAAACGAATGCATAGTGGTAAATATTTGTATAACATAATATATAAATTTATCTCTAAAGTTTACTTGCAATTTAAATGAATGTTTAGATATGTCTGAAGTGCTCCGGGAGTTTCAATGTAAATTATGTTTGAAACTTTTGGGATCTCGTGCTGCTCTTCAACGTCACATGAAAGAAGTTCATCATAAAGATGTAGTTGGTGCTGCAACCTGTGATCGATGTGGAAAAATATTTCAAAATAAAAGTAATCTCAAAATACATATGTTAACACATAGCGGAGTAAAACCATTTAAGTAAGATTGCAATATTTGTTTATGTAATATTATATATTTCATTAGCAAATTTGGTAAAAGCGTTTATTTTTTTTTCTTTTTTTTTTTTTGAATTGCAGATGCAAAGAAAATGGTTGTAAAGCAGCTTTTACTACTAAACAATGTTTACAATTTCATTACAAAAAGGTACATGGTCTTACAGAAGAAATGATGCCAAAAATTGAACGCTCTGTTGCTTATACTTTTGATGCATATAGTGGTGGACTTGTTGAAGATGTTGGTCGTGGAAAAAGTCCTCGACCAAGTAGAAAAACCTTTCAGGTTCGTTCTTTAACAAAATTTATTTTATTTTATAAATATTAATAAAAGTAAATCATTTCGAAACACGGTATTCGCTATGTAATTTATAATTTCAGCAAGAAAACGATTATAAAATATTTATAGATGATGGCAATTCCAAAAACGACTTAAGGATTGAAACGGAAAATATTTCTGCACATTCGACCATAATCGAGTTTAGTACAAGTCCCACAAATAAGTATAAAATGGAACATAATTCACGAATCTCAAATTCGTCATTTTTGATGGGTGCATCAACATCAAAAAGTACAGAAACAGATGTATATGGTATATCCAGATTACAAAGTAAAGGAAGTAAAAAATGGCTTGGAGAATTTAATCCTCCAATTACTTCAGATATACTATCTAATACGATTCCTCATTTGTCAACAAGTGTTGTTACAGAAAATACTTATGAATTTGAAGATACTAGAAAGGAAATTGGTGATAAAGTATCATCATCAACAAATAGAACACAAGATATTATGGAAAATACTAAATTAGGACTTAGCGTTTATAGAAGAACTGAAAGTGCAAATGCTAGTTTATTAGTAGAAGCTGCTCTTGATGCTGCTGAACGGGATATAGGAGCAGTAACTAGTCCAATATTGGAGGATAATGATCGCGATACAAATCTTTATTCAATATCCAATCAATTACAATCTCCATTGCCTCAGAGATCACCAAATCATTTAGATTCTTATATACAGCAACAAGAAGAACTGATATCTCCTGCACCGACACCAGATAATAGAAATACACCACCTACACATTTACATGTCGATTATCAAATACATCGGCCTGTTGATTACATCAGTACACCAAGAACACATAATATCGATCAATATTTGCATCACGAAGAAATACCGCGAGTTTCTTCACCAAATAATTATATACATATTCAACAAGAAACTTTAGTATCACCTTCAGCAACACCAAATCCTCGATATCAAGATGTGCATCATCATCATCATCATCATCATCATCACCATCATCATCAAATATCAGATAATTTATCTAGTGATGAAGGTGATTCAGTTGTGCAAAATCTTAGTCTTTCGGTAAAAGAAAAGACAATGCAATTAGATCTTTCAACATCATATAAATATGATCCTCTTGAACAAGAATTCGCTAGAGAAAGAGCTAATTTCGAACCTCTTGTTCTTAATGGAGAACTTCAAGGATTGGATATGTCTGCTAGAGGATTTCATCATAATTTTGGTGTACAGATACAAAATGCGCGATATCATCATCATTTGTATGAAATTGAAAGACAAAGTGTTGATCTTAGTAGGACTGGAAGTTATTCGATATCACCAACTCCTCTTTCAGTAACTTCCCAAGTATCGTCTGGTTCTTCGGTGACAGTAGTTCCTCCACCACCGCCTCCAGCACCACCACCACCACCACCACCCCCGCCGCCTCCTCCACCTCCCCCACCTCCAGCTCCCCCTCCCCCACCACCACCTCCACCTCCACCTCCTCCACCTCCTCCACCTTATCCTCATAGTGATGTTTTAAGAGTTGTAAGTTTAGATCTTACTCCTGGTGGACGTCATACTGTTGATCTTACTCTTTCAAGACCGCATCATTTGCACGGATCCAGTGCTCGTGTAATAACAAGTCCTCAACCTACAGGCTCTGGCAATGCACATATCGTACCTGACGCGATTGATGGACGAATTTTATCTTCTCCTCCACCGCCTTCTTTATCAGGATATAATCCAAATTATCCTGTAAGTCCTGCTCCATATCACCCACCAAGATCAGGATATCATCATTACTCCGGTTATTACTAACTAATATATATTTTTATCTTTTCTTTATATTTTAATATAGATACCCACCGAGTAATTTTTAAAAAATAATTTTTACTATAAAAATATTTCAATCATAAATAATCAAAGATCATAATATTACTTGTCATTAATGTCAATATTTTGACATAATGTTACAAAATTCTTTATTTCTTCATTTTCTGTATTTAAAAATATATGAACTAAGACCACGACTTAGACGAAGTAAAATTCTTTTATATAAAGAATAAATGCAAGCCATTTTAGTCGATTTGGTCTTCCTTGCACATATATGATAATCGAAAGTCAACATAGATGCAGTAAATTTATAGAATTTTACCTTTGAAATTAAAGTACAACTTTGAAACAGAGAAGCGCACAAATATAATGAAACCAGTTACGTTAGATCAACTAGTTTTTGAGTGGTTTAAAGCACATGATCGGATTAGTTAACCGGTCAAACGTGATTGTATTGTAAAGAGTGACATGTATCTATTATTTTTGGAGCGAACTTTATTTTTTTAAACTATTTACGAACAAAATTGTAGAAATTCTTTCTGCATTTAGAAGTATAATGCATGATTAGAAAAAAAAAATTAGTTTCTCAGTTACACAATTCTTAAATCATATATTTATATATATTGTTCTTTTATATAATCAAAATTTTACGTTAATTGATAGTAAATTTTTTCAAAGCAATTGTTACTTCATATGAAATGTTACTTAACTTTTAGCATATATTCTTCTACTTCTTGTTTATCGATGAAAAAGTATTTGTAAGATTAACGGTAGTTGTTATAAATTTTTGCAACAGTATTTTTCGGACGATTAATCAACGACGTCAACATTGCTTCGTTTGTCGTCGTTGTTATTTTCAAACTTAGATTCATAGTCAGTTTATCGTACATGAAGTCAAAGAAATAATAATTAAATAAATGAGAGAATAAAGAGCTGCGATATTATTAATGCATGAAAAATTTTTACTCTTGAAAAATATTGTGAATTGTAATTTCGATCATTACGATGGTTCACAATCTGCGAAATAAATCAATCGATGCCTAACGATAGTTATAAGTCTATTTATATGGTGATATTGACACTTAAACGTTTATTTTTATTCTAGTCACTCTCATATTACATTCGAAATAATATTAGTTATCATATATTAGACATTATAAATGTCTATACTACATCAAAAATTGCAACGATTATTTAATTTGCATAAACAAAATTTTTCAATTTCGAAATGTTGTTAAAATATAAGCATATATATATATATATATATATATATATATTAATTAAGATTAGTAATGATAACAACCGAACTTATTTAAAAAATATATAACAAAATATACATAGTTTACAGCTTTTTTCAATCTTTTTTGCTAATTATTTGCTAGTAAGTACCAAAGAATGAAAAATTGTGCAACCTTTGTGCCAAATAGATAAGATATTTATCGTATATGTACAGTTTTAATATAAGCGCACCGATTATTTTGTATTATATAAAAATATTCGTAGAATTAACAATAGATATATAAATATATATAATTTTATGTATGCATGTATGATGTATGCAAGCATATATAATTGAAAGTATGTATGCATATAATTGAATGTGTGTATGTTGCACGTCCTTCTTAAATAATGCAATTATAAATTTTTAATTTTTGAAGTAAATTTCGATTAATTGTTTACCTTCTTAATAATATCGGTTTAATTTATTTTTTACATTATATATTATATATTATTATATATTATATATTAGATTTTTGCAATTTAGAGCTTCCTGTTATATTTTAATTAATAATTATACATTTTATAATTTATTACTTATAATTTTTTTCATTTCAAATAATAGCAGAAATAATCAAGAAAATTATTTCTTTCTTAGTATTTATGTATTCATATATAATATTACTAGCTACAATTACATAAAACAACAATGTTCATAAGTACAAATATAACATGAATACATACATTTGTATTGGATTTCTTAATATGGTAAAAGAATTAATGGAATAAATGATAAAAATAATAAAAATAAATAAAAACAATTATAAAAGTTATATTTTTTTATTATAACTATTGTCAACTAAAGATTACAGAAAGAAAAAATTATAATATTATTTATTAATATATTATATATAATATATTATATTATATTAATATATTATATATTATATTATATTATAATATTAACCTCATTGATCATCGTATTCTCATTTAAATTGACGCACATCTTCGCGCTTCTGAATGCAGCGACATCGACTTATATTATCAAAATGTTCCTCTCTATTCAACGATACGTATATATATAAGGCATATGATATATACGAGCCGAGTCGAGCTGAGATCCCTAGTTTTGCAGTTGTTCATCGGTGTCGTTTTATAATATATTTTCTTTTTAAAGAAAGGTTTCCAAAAAGTAAAAAAATGGTTAGCTCGGTTGTGCGGTCTTCTTTACTATATCCTACGGTAAATAATAATTCTCCTTTTTCTTTTTTTTAATTATTAAAAAATATCGTTTATTACATATTAAGATAAGATCAGTTATTTAAATGTTATATAAACGGGTCGATACTGTTCGGTACGTCAATTTCTGTCGCATTAGTTAGATAGACTACAGTGTATTAAGTAACTATATTCTTTCTTCAATTAAATTTTAATATTTTCTTTTTATTTTATCTTTATAATTTTCTAATAATTATTTTTATAGCATTCATTTTAAATATAAATATATTTTAAGAATAATTTTCTTTTCTAAAATTTTAAAATTTAAAAATAAAAAATAAAAAAGATATGAAAAAATATAAAGATAAATATGTATCAAAATTAAAAACATTTTTTAATATATATTAGGTTAGATATTATGCAGTTGCAGCAACTGTATCAAAGTGTGCTGCACTAGCTCCTGAAATTAAAGTTTTAAACAATAAAGTTACTATTGCTGCTTACGATAATCATGCTCCAATTGCACAAGTTTCCATTGTATTCAGGTATTCAAAAATCTAAATAAGTTGTATATATATATCAATCATAATATTTCTTATATATTAATATTATATATAAATATTTTATTTATAGAGCTGGATCACGAAATGAAACACATGATACACAAGGCACAGCACATTATTTGCGAATAGCTGCAGGATTAAGTACATCTTGTGCAACCAGTTTTGCCATAACAAGAAATATTCAACAACGTGGTGGAAATTTAATAACTACTGTTGATCGTGAAAGTATAGCATATACCTTGCAAATTACTAAAAACAATTTGTAAGATTTTTTTTATTTGCTATTTGCATTAAAATGAAATTTTTTTATAAACTATTTGCTTTTTATTAATAGAATAGATGCTCTTCAATATCTGGAATTTGCTGCTACTAAGCAAATTTTTAAACCATGGGAAATAGCTGATGAGTTGCCCAGATTAAAATATGAACTCTTTTCCCTATCTGATTCAGTTCTAATATTAGAACTTTTACATAAAGCAGCTTATCGTACTGGACTTGGATATTCTCTTTTTTGTCCAGAATATCAATTGGGTAAAATTGGTACAGAAAGTGTAAGTATAATAATTTTTATACAATATAAAATTTCTGCCAAATAATGATCTTATGATTTATTTTTTATTTATAGTTACAACATTTTGTTAATACTTGGTGTACTGCACCTAGATGTGCAGTTGTTGGCACTGGTGTTTCATTATCAGAGCTTACTGCTTTAGGATCAAATTTAAGTATTGGATCAACAGATAATACAAATGAAGAATCAAAATATTATGGTGGAGAAATTCGTAAGGAAACTGGATCAGATTTAACTAGTGTAGCAATAGCAGTAGAAGGTGTAAGCTTGAAAAATGAGAAAGATGCATTAGCATGTGCAATACTTCAAAGAGCATCCGGTAGTGGACCAAGAGTTAAGTGGGGATCTAGTCCTAGTTCATTGCATAAACAAGTTTCAAGTGCTGCAGGCAGAGAACCATTTGGTTTATCAACTTTTAATGCTAGCTATACAGATTCAGGACTTTTTGGGGTTGTTTTATGCTCAACGTCTAATGTAGCAGGATTTGTAAGTTATTATAAAGCATTATAATTATAATAAAATAATTTCCATATGTATATATTAATTTGTATTATATTTATAGTTGACAAAAGCAGCCTGCGAATGGTTGAAATGTTTTAAATTATCCAATGATGATATTACTCGTGGTAAAAATATATTAAAAACTGAAATTCTGGACGCAGCAGATAATTCACTTTGTTTATTGGAAAGTATGCAACAACAAGCTGTGCTTAAAGGGAATATTTCTTCACCAACATCATTAGTTAATGACATTGATCAAATTTCCTCGTCTGATATTAAAGATGTATATTTATTTATAATATAATTCTTCTTTTTACATTTATTGCATTCTTTAACAATATTAATACAAATAAATGTTTTTCAGATTGCAGACAAACTTATTAAAGGAAAATTATCCGTAGCTGCTATTGGTAATTTGAAGACTGTACCATATATTGATGACTTAAAATAGACTTAGTAGATTTTTAAAGAAATAACTAACTACCGAAACAAATATCAATTTTTTTCAAGAGATTGAGATTAAGGTACATGAAAATTGCCAATCAAAATTGGTACAAGATATTTAATATTTGTGTGCATTTCATTGCAGTGAACGTAATTCTGTAGATATGAATAAAAATAAAAATTCTTTATTTCCAGTTTTTGTTTTTATATATATTATTTTTAATCTTTTCCTAAAAATGCATTATTAAGTTTATATATATATATATATATAATATTTAAAAGTATTTTACAATTTTATTTACATATTAACAATGTTGTAAGAAGTAATTAATATTAAAAATATTTACATGTATACATTTGAATTATTATTATTAGAAATTACTTTATGTTTACATTATTAATAGAGTTTTATTTCTTCTATCGTATAAAATTTATTACGATTTTTTTGTATTAGTTTAGATGACTTCCCATTAATTGTTCTTATTAAAATGGGTCTCATGTTTTCCATATCTTTAAATACTTGTAACTGAAAAGAAAATTTATTAATATAAAAAATAGAGTATTTATTAAATAATTACTAAAACAATTTTTTTTGTTTGAATTATATATATAACTTACATGACTGTCTAAAATATAATTAAGTTTATTAAGTAACAGTGATACTTCTGGATCTTGTGATAACACGTAATGTTGATAATGAGATTCTAATAAAAGACTGGACCATTCATATAATTGTTTATCAGTTGGTTGCTGTGCAATATCGTGATAAAAATCTTCAGCATCTAATTTTTGTATTAAATAATGTAATAATCGAAGAATTTCATTAAAATTCAAACCAGTTTTAAGAAATGAGGATAAAAAAATATCAGAATAAGTAAGACTAAAAATTTTATCAAGAAAATTATTTCTTGAATATAAACTTTTGGTTATCAAATTATGATCTGTACCATTTTGTAACGGTAAAAATGTTTCATCAGGATTTCTTAGTGCAAAGATTAAAAGATCAGTTAATAATTTTTCTGGTAAATCTTTAAAATTATTTAAACACCATATGATTGTTTCTACATCTTTGGATTCTATTAATTGTGGAATTAATATTTCTTGTATTGCAGCATCACTCAATCCTTCATTTATGTAAGATGATACTTGTTCAGAAATTTTTATTGGAATATGGATTTTTGGTTTAATAGAAGCTTTTTCATTCTTTTCCCATTGAGTTATTGTTGACTCTTGTATTACAACAATTTCATTATTTTCAATATTATCATCATCATTTTTAAAACGTAAGGATGATCCAAGTAAAGTTGCTATTTTCTGAGGTGCTAGATGAAAAGGTGCAATTGCTAAATGTCTGTTAGCAGCAAGTAATAATTTATCCTCAATTTTCCATAGTTTTGCATCTTTTGTATATAATTTCAATTTCTGTGCATCTTGTATTAATTTGAATTGTACATTGTAAATCATTAATACGGCCCCTTCTTCAGAAACATCAGCTCCATAAACTGCTATAGTTGCTTCATTTAGAGATGTCATAATTACAGGATGTTTAGTATTAATATTAGTAATAATACCAATTAATATACTTAAACCATTTTCATTATTTGTTTCCATTAAAGGATGACTATATAATCTACCATGTGACCCTGAATAATAAAAGAAAGATACAAAATTAATTTAGATTTAATTTAGATTTTGAAAGAAAACTAAAAAGTAATAATCACTTACATAATGTTAAAAGACAAGCTTTATTTTTAGTTTGCAATATTGTATGGCCAACTAATTCTTCTGATCTTCGTTTCAATTCTATTCTTTTCATATAATCCTTTTCTTCAGTATAAGTCTCATTATTTAGCTTAACTATAACACAATGGTATGTTCCTTCAATTTCAGTTAACATACATAAATTTATTTTATCATTAGTATGAATTAGATAACATTCTAAAAGTTTTTCATTTATATTTAATATTCCTTCCTTGGACCATGATTTTCTATTTTGTATAGCTCTTTCTAATGAAGCAGTAGCTCCATCTTTGCGTACCAATACAGGTGGGCAGCCTTCAAGTGTAAGAATAGTATGCAAAGCAGATTGAAATTTATAGCCTTTGATGCTATTTAAATCTGTTTCTTCAGCAGACCAAAGACGTATTTTTTTCTCGTTAAATACTGCAGCATATTGATGTGTTATTTCATTGTAAATAACTTGTGTTGTTAATCGATCTTTACTAGTCCAACTACCCAATTGCTTTAAATCCTGCAACTGTAAATAAAATTATATTGATTACACATGGTAATGAGTAATTATATTATAAATATTATTAATGCAATATTTTACCTTATATCGGATTACAATATTTCTTCCTAATGTTACGATTGCACATCCGGTTTCTGAATCTCTCTCAACACCTAACAAATTTTGTTCATCAATAAGGGGACACAATGTATAATATGAATAAAGTTTTGCCATTTTATTAGAATAATTTTTTTAAATTCTGTGTTTTTTATTATTTGATAATCTTTGTTATTTGTGCCCATGTAAAATAAAATAGTAACAGATAGTAATAAACACGATTTGCCAATATAATTTTTCACTAAAAATTTTATTGGCCATACACACTATATAAGAATGCTTTTACAATTAATAAAGATGGCGTTCGAATATGATTTCTGCAATTGGCGCGGTTAAAACACGTTCTCTCACTGAATTGACAAAAACATATTATAACTAAAAACACGATTGTAGATACAAATTAGATATAAGAATAGATATATATAAGAAAACTTTTTATTTATATTTTAATATCTAATTGTGTTACAGCTGTTGAATTATGCGGATATCGCGGGGGCGCTTTGATCTATGTCTAGAGCACCATATTTAAAATAAATTATGAAAATTCAAATACTTAAATAAATATTTAAATTAAACTTATTATTATAATATATTAATATATTATATTATATTAAATTTAATTTTAAAAATTTTTAGTTTTTTTATAAAAATAAAATTTTATAGAATAGTAAAATTTCTATTTAAAATAAAATCTTAAAATTTAGCTCATCGAAACTTTTTGAGAATTGAAAAAAGATAATATTTTTTTGCAAAAAATATATATTTTAAAAATTTGAAGGCATAAAGAAAAAATAATTTAAGAATTTTTTTTTTTAATTTTTATTTATAATTTAAGAAATATTTTATGAAAGTTTGTTATTATTATTATGGTATTTAAATAAATCAATGTATTATTACAAGATAAATAATATTTTCTTGTTGGAAAAAATACATCCACTAAGTGATGATTACATTGGTGATCACCATTCGAAGAAGATCGGGAAGGGATAAAGCTATATACATTGAGGGTGAGTTGAACGATACTTGAGTGTCTTCATATCACTCGAAGAGAGTTTTAAACATTATAGCAAACATTTATTTGTATTTTATTAAAAAAAAGAGTATAGTAAACATTTATTTAATTTTTTATTTTAGTTGGTGTAAAATTTTTTTTAATCAGAATTATTTTCATTAAAAAAATACTCTATTTTGCAAACAATTCATCAAAAATGCAATCGTCAATTATCATTCCTCTTTTGTGTTTATTTATGGGTAAGTTAAGTTAATTAAAATGCATCCTATTTCATAGATTATAATATACATATATATTTTTAATGATCAATTATATTCGATCGAGATTGTATTGCTCGAATATGATCTTTTTTAAATTTTTCTCAATATTCTTCTATTTCTGGTTAATAAGTGTTTCTCAAGTAACTGCATAACATCACGAAGTCCATCGTATCTTGTTGTCGATTCGATTGGAATACAAATTGAAAAGACAGTAAAAGTACAAACAGAAAAAATTGAGTGTGGAAATGCGAATACTGGAAAACATAAAATTAAACTTTTTATTTTCGTTTTTTTTTTAAAACAATAGTATAATTTTTTTTATGGATATTAAAAATGCTTTAAAGTATCGATAATCTTGATTAATTCTTCTATAATATATATATATTTTTATTCTTAGATTTCAGTACTACTTTTTTAAAATCAGAAAAAGAGGATAATCGTTGTGAAATGATGATGAAAAGGATTGATTTTGATGACAGAATGACCGTAACAGATAATACACCATCTAGATTACATTCGACATGGATTTCGCAAGAGTAAATACATTTTCAATTTTACTTTACTTTGAGAAAAATTAAAATTTGTCACGAATATTTTCAGTGCAAGAGATGATCATTATTATTTCTTCAGATGTGAAATACGAGCTGGTCCGAAATATATTATAAGGAAATACAGTTTTTTTAAGAATGATACATTTCTTTTATTACAATATCATTATGATGAAGAATCATGTAGTATTGCAGCTTACACTGTTATAGCACGTGGTTCTGTTAAAATTTTATCTCCTTCTATCGCAATTCCTGGTGCTGCAGAAACTAACGTACAATTGGATTCAGTTTATTTAATACCATTTAACAGACAGGTAGATCGATCAATGTTTCGTTGTTATCAAAATTGTTATGCAAAATTGAATAAATTGATTATAACAAATTAAATTATCTTTTTGTCAGATAGCTCATAAATTTGGACGTATAATGAATGCAAGTTGTGGTGGTATTGAAACAAAGTGGCGTCCTTACCTGCCGCAACTCATCTATGAACGATCCATGGATTCTCCGTTAAATATGAGCTTACATATGTATGACTTGAATTCTAATTCTCTTCAAAGTCGTTTATTAAGATTGAGAAAACGATACACGATAGCTTGCCTGGATTCCTTCGAGATTGATTTCACTGAACTTAAATTGCTTCGAGTTGAAATAAAACGATCTAGTTTTATCTCAAAGTTATCAAGAAACACGATCGACGGAAATAAAATGCGTGTAAGAATTGAATTATTGCTAGGTGGGCCTGCTCGAAACATTCATTCTCAGAAAATGCAACCAAAACCAAATCGATTGCAATCTACATCACTGTTACGCGTTGATACGGTAAGAAGAATGCTTTATCGAATGCTTCTAATTTTTCTATTTATTTTAATATCAAATTTATTTAACATCATAGGCTATTGACTGTCCGATTTGTGGAAGTGTATATCGTGCTACCGAATATAGCCCGCCTTTGTTTCATCAAACACCACCACTTCCAGCAGTAATCGACGGTTTTTGGTTAAGTATTAGATGCGAAAGCGTCGATGGAGGATTTTGGTCTAGAAGATTTTTTCGTATTTATTCCGACGATAATAGATGGTTCGCACGTTGGAGTTATTATTCCGATTCAATGTGTTCGAATTTTTTATATACGGTTACCGCAGCTGGAACTTATGTTCTACGAGCTGTTCGACAAACGCGCGATCAAAATTTAAATATATTCAACGACGAAATTCGATTAGATAGAGTTCAAAAAAGGTTAGAGTTAAGTATTTATCCTCGCTTTTTACAAGATACCAAAGAATCGGTTATATCACGATCAAATCAGAAGCAGAATATGGAGATTAATCCACAAAAATTTATTGGTCGAATAATTCCTTTTGAAATCCAAAAACATAATACGATACCTTCTGGAACAACCGAATTGGAATTACAAATTCTTGAAAGTCTTTTAACTCCTGTTGGTAAGATAGTATCAACAAGTTGCAAATTAAAAACTATGAGAGAAGTAAGAAAAATTAGACGTATAAGGAGAAACGAAGCAAGTTTATGGTCAAAAAATTGCAAACTTCGAACCGGATTTAAAACTCCTACAATTTTGAAATTCAAAGCAAAAATTGGTCTTGACTGGAAAGGAGATTACACTTTACTTTTAGCTTCGTGGAAAGATGATCTTTGGGAAGCTCCTCTACAACAATGTTACGAATCAACTCTGGAAAATCATTTTCACAAATCCTCGCATTCAACACTTTTTCGACAAGATAATTGGTATGATCGATTTAGTAGACGAAGACGAGATTGGTTTCCTTCTTCGTTCGCCATATGCCTTTCAACAAGTTCCTCGTATATGTACAATATAATTTTATTTTTATTATTATATTGTTTATATCATATGTAATGATAAATAAATAATATGATAAAATTTCAATCATGATTTTGAAAATATTTAGAACTTATAAAAAATCTAATATTTTCATTGTTTTTCGATAAAATTTTTCAAAATTTTTTTAACTTTTAAGAATACAAATTAAAATTTTCATTTTAAAAAATAATTTAGAACTTTTTATATTTAAATATTGTTTCCTGTTTGCAAATTAAAAGCATATTTCTAATAAAAATTATATATGAAATATATTTTTGAATAATATTTGTTAGATCAATTTAAAATTTGAATAAATTTAATTATTTATCAATATTATTATAAAATATTATAATAAAAAATTAATAATAAAAAATAAATTATTTATCATAATGAACTTCATACTTCAAATTCGAATGTTTGCATATACAAATTCAACGTAATATATAAAAAATTGACATTAATTTTTGAAAAAAGATTACATAAAGAAAGAAATAAAAAAAATAAAATAAAATAAAATAAGAATTATTATTAATAATTAATTATACTAATCAAATTAAATAATTGTGATTATTTTAAATATTTTTATCTTACTTTTCAATGTATAAGATGCATTGATTTTGTTGAATCAATCAAACTTTGATTAATATTATTTTTAATGAATATCAAAGTATAACAAGTTATTTATATATTGTATAATTATAGACAACTCATATTTTTTGTACTTTTAAATATATTTTATTTAATTAATAAAAACGAAATGATTATTTTTCTGTTTTCTTCAATTTTGCGAACGCATGAGTTTTCATCACCTTTATAACGATTTTTTGTTCCTCGATAAGAAAAGCGCGAACGATCCTATAATCAAAAATTCATAAAAATAAATTTGCATTGTTGCTATTGTTTTATAGAAAAGAAGAAAATAAAGATATACCTTTCTTTGACGCATTTGTGACAGAGAACACCGCCATATACTCGTTTCACAGTTTTTTTGCGTCTGCACATTCGTGACCTTTCCATGGGTCTAGCTGGTTGAATTCCTCTCAATTTATCTTTGCACTGACCACATCTCGGAATTTTTTTCGGTTTTTTAAGATATTGATATACTAATTTTCCACCAGGAGTGCGAACACTGCAAATGTATAATACGATATATTGTTACATCTTTTTAATAGTTTGGATATAGATACATAGATACATTGTAAATAAATTTTTGATTTAAATAATTGAAAGAAAATTTCATTTTATATTTAATTAACATAAAATACGTACGATTTTACATAGTAAATATGTAAATTTCATACACAAAAATAAATCAAAACATAACCTTAAATGATCAAAGATTCATTATATTTTTATTAAGTTTTCTAATAAATTTTTTGCATTATAATTTATACAATGTATATATATTAAGTACGCGAATTTTGTATTAATATTTCTACAAAAGTAAATACTTACACGCGTCTCCTGTTACTTTTTGTATTATATGACAATCGACGTCGATAGGTTAAGCGCTGTACCATTTTGGTTCTGAAATATAAATTTATTTCTTAGCAGAAAGGTTCGTTCATATTGTAATAAATTATATTGTTAAAAAATATAGATTTCGAAACAATTATAAAAACATGTGTACCTTTAAAGATTAATTTAAATAATTTAGATAATTAAACGTAATATAAAATTTAAACGAACCTTTCGTAGAATCAAGCGGAAAAGGAAACGACTACATCCGAAAAATTTTACTATACACAAGCGCAATCTTGTGTCACAAAATAGTAATACTCCCTAGTGTAGTAAACACGTAGAATTATTTCCCCATAAACTAAATATGTATTAGAAGGATGTTAAAGAACAAATTTTTTCCGTTTTTGAATTTGCTCGATAGAGGCACTACTTATTATCATAAGAAAATTTCATGCCGTTTGAAATTGTAACCGATCTGAATAAAGAATAATAAAGAATTATATTAACAAAAAGAGTTTAAATAATAAAAGAAAACCAATTTTTACATCGTATAAGGTATATTATTTATTATATCTTATTTACATTCAACATCGTCTTGACAACACCATAGGAAAAATGTTTTTAGACACATTCCAAAATTTGTCGATATTAATTCTCTTATTGCATCTGTCGCGTTTTGTCGCTTTGTTTTATACAATGAATCGAGGACACACGATGGTGATTTGCTGAACCAATAGTGTAAAAACTCAGTTCGATGAGTATACATAAATTATGATGCGTGTACGTGATAGTAGATGAGCTATTTATAATATATACGGGACGGTACCTGTGTGCTTTGTCTTTTCGCGAATTTAATATATGTTTTTGTTTCTTTTCTTTTTATTTTTTTTTGTTTGCTTTTCGTTTCCGAAGCAGGTACTTTGACAAAGTTCGCTGTAAACAGACTGTTAAAAAAATAATGATGAAAAAAAAAACAATTGAAAGAAAGTTAAACAACGTGCACGTAATTCGCTTAAAAAAACGCTTAACTAATACATAACTGCTTAGAGACTCGACGATCGTATCTATAATGTTGTATTTCATTTTTTCTTTTATCCTGTCGTCTCCCTTTACAATGACATAATTTTTCGAAAATTCTGAAGTAAGGAAATAATGTCTCTCTTTTTTTCTTTTTTTTTTTCTTTCGTCCCCTTTCGTACAATTCTAATAAGGTAAATAGATAACCTACCACAATTAGAAAATTCTTTTTTTTTTTTTTTAATTTAGTCAGATCTCTAAACAATAAATAAGGCTTTCTTTGCTTTTAATAAATAGTAGTACAGAAGTGTTAATCGAGTAAAAGTATTTAAGTAAAAGAGTGTCTGAGGAGGATGTCTTCAACGATTTTCCATTCGTTTACTCATCGCTACGTTTCCTCGATAGAAAGAGTAATGATTAATTACAAAAAAAAAAAAAAAAAAAATATCGTAACTGATAATAAAAAGAAGACGAATAAAAAGAAAAACGATAGGAGGAAAAGCAAAGTTTATTCGCGTGAATCGAAGAGAATTTTTGATTCGGATTACGCGATCATTTTTTTCTTATTGCTCTTCCTTCTTTCGGCATTTTTGCATTTTGAATTCTCGTCTCTTATAACATAAAAAGCGTGTTGCGGTTAATTAAAACCGGGGAGGGAAAATAGAGAGATATAGAGGTAAAGACAGAGAGCGAGCAAACGAGCGAGCGGGAAAAAGAGAGATAAAGATGAAGAAAGATGGAATGAAGAATAGATATAGAAAGTAAATATCAAGTATCGATCGAAAGCTTTGAAAATACAAGCATGGATAGTGTCGAGACGAAAAAAATTAAAGGATAAAAAGAAGAAAGGAAAGAAGGAAAAGAAGGAAGGCGGTTCGAACGCGAAAGACTCAAGTGAAATCGAAGAACTCTCTAATAAGATATCTTTTACGCTCTAACTAATTATCATCTGCTCGTTTCGTGCCTACGATCGTTTAATATCGATAGAGATCTATGAAATCTAAATATTAATTCACTGAAACTATCGACATTCTCAAAACTTCAGGTCGCACTCGCAGGTTCGTCGCTAGACACAAATAGTTACGGCTGAAAGTTCTTAAAAATCTTTCTTTCATCTCTCTCTGGAGGAGTCCCGGCCGAATTTTCTATCCTTTTCAACGCTTTCATTTACTCGGGTAAGATTCGATTTACGCCGCGGTACAATATTTTATCGTTTTATACCCGAAATTTCGTTTGATCTCTCTCGATATTGTGCCGTTCGGTTGGGACTCCACGTGGCTTCATCACTCTTATGCTTTACCTTACTTCTCGTTAACTTTTTAATACGAACATTTAGGAAGATAGCGCTATCGATAATTAATATTTTCTGAAATTTGTTAACATTTTCTATATAAAAATCTGCATTTGCGTGTATTCACTTATTGCTTCTTAATCGTCGCCATTTTCAGTAGCTTTTCGTTCTCTTTCTCTCTTTCTAACAGAGACCAAACGTCCACCACGCGACGTCGTCTCGCCGTCTCGTCGAGAAAAACGAAACGCCGCGGGCGTCGAATACGAAGTCTCTAGGACCTTCCTTCGCATTTTTCGAATGCAAACGGAATGACCTCGTGTAATTGTCGAGAGGCCCGACGCATCGATGGCTCGATTCAAGAAATAATAAACTTAAACTAACAATAATCCGTCCTTTGCTACGTCGGATCAATCTATACGCGAGAAATAATTTCGACTATTAGGGCCTTCTCCGTCCTCTCCCTACATCGACCATCGTCACGCCGAGCCTTATCAACTATATATTTCTATCGTTAATTCGTTAAATTAAGAATAAAAAATTTTCCCGGTGGCTCGCCCGATTTGTTTGGAAGCGTTCGAGTCGCGCTCGAATCGATCATCGATCTTTTTTTTTTCCGACGAACGTTCGCCGATCTCCCGCGGGAATTTCTCCCGCCGGATAAAATATCAATTACTGTGAACCTGGGAACCAGTCTTTACAATTAACGAACGTGGATGTAACAAGATACAGACCATCCATCTCGACGAAACAAGCCTTTTTTCTTCTTTTTTTTTCCTGTTTTTTTTTTTTTTTTTTCTTTTTTCCTCTCTTTAACCAATACTAATAATATCGTGATCGCTACGCGTGCACGCTGGGATGTGGACGTTGCGTTTTGCGATGCGAAACAATTCGAATCACTCGTTTAAAAGTAAATCTACTATGTATTTATTAAAGACGATCGCTAATATTCAGCTTTCGTTCCTTTCGCGAAACCGTGTATCACGTGTAAAAAGGTGTCGTCGCGAAAAACTTTTCTAGATAATTATTACCATTACGCCAAATCTTTTACTCGTCGTTGCTTCGAAAGATTTACCCGGTTCACGCACCTTATTATATTCATCTTTCATTATTCATTCATTTCTCTCTCTCTCTCTCTCTCTCTCTCTCTCTCTCTCTCTCTCTCTCTCTCTCTCCTTTTTTAATACGCCTTGATATGTTCACGGTATCGAGGGACACGTTTTATGATTTCTTCGGCATACCATAACCACTTTTT